CATAAGACTACATGCTCTTACCACCATAGCATCAATAGACAACATGCTCTTACCACCTCAGCATTATAAGACTACATGCTCTTACCACCCCAGCATTATAAGACTACATGCTCTTACCACCCCAGCATTATAAGACAACATGCTCTTACCACCATAGCATCAATAGACAACATGCTCTTACCACCCCAGCATTATTTAGACTACATGTTCTTAACACCCCAGCTTTATAACACTACATGCTCTTACCACCCCAGCATCAATTAGACTACATGCTCTTACCACCCCAGCATTATAAGACTACATGCTCTTACCACCCCAGCATTATAAGACATGCTCTTACCACCCCAGTATCAATAGACTACATGCTCTTACCACCATAGCATCAATAGACTACATGCTCTTACCACCATAGCATCATTTAGACTACATGCTCTTACCACCCCAGCATCATTTAGACTACATGCTCTTACCACCCCAGCATTATAAGACTGCATGCTCTTACCACCCCAGCATTATAAGACTACATGCTCTTACCACCCCAGTATCAATAGACTACATGCTCTTACCATCCTAGCATCAATAGACCACATGCCCTTACGGTTGGCTTGATTTTTAGGCTTCCAAAATGTTGCTATTTTCGTATTGCAATTTAATTGACACGTTCTCATGTATTTTTGATGAGATTTGTACATTCTAAATTTATGGTGCAGAATGGAAGACCGGACTGTCAGTGGATACTCACGATCTTATCTTGATACTCATCAATATTGTGTGGCCTAATTTTTATACCCTTTTATCATAAAATTATTATTAATGAAGCCGTCCCTTTAAGTGAGTGAACGCTGATTTCAATCAGATGTTGAAAGACATACAAGTTTAACAGGACCCAGCATCCCAAAACCTTATAAGTTTTGTCGTAATTATGGCAATATAGTCCACACTTGTGACATTTTCTGATAACCAGGACCCAGGGCTCAGTTTCGAAAAACAATTTTCCGATAAATTGAGAAATAAACACCACATTTACGGCAAAATTGACTTGGGATCAGGCCCCATGCACATAAAGCTGGCAAAAACCAGAATTTTTTTATCAGGATCTTTATTGACCAATAGAAATACAGTAAAGCATTTAATCTTGAGCTGCTTTTTCTTCGGCAACCTTTCGAACAAATCCTGCTTTCTTCTGTTTGATGATGGCCATACGTTGAGCTTTGGGGGTCTTGGCCTTGTTCCATCTGAAAATTTCAAAATTTCAAAATTTAAGGTACATAAACTGTTGCAAGAGAAAAATGTTACATTAATGGGATTAAGGTTTCTAATTTTTTTATGTGTATTGGGGAAACTGATAGCACTAATTTGTAACATTCTTAGTCATAATTTGTGTCCCTACAATTGGACTAAAACTAAATACTTGATGACATCATTAATCACAAAAATATGCTGTATCACATTAGGGCCCTTTGCTATTAGTCACGTCAATCATTTGGTTTTAGTGTAATTGCAAGAACCAATATTATAAATCTGCAAATTGATGCTATCAGTGTCCCAGACATCAAAGATTTAGAAAACCTCTTTACAATCCCTTTCAAAAAGAGCAGGCTAATGCCACTGTGTTGGCAAAATGTCCCCTCATTGCACCCTGCATGGTGTTGTCAGTCTTCATTAGCCCACACGGTGAAGAAAAGTAGAATGTAAAACTCCATTCATTTCATCTAATCTCAAGTAAGCAGTTTTTCAGATAAGTATGGTATCTGTTAACTTCGACACTGACAAAATCTATGGTAAAATATAATCACAGATTTTCCATATTGAAAGTGAAAGTAAACTGACCTCTTTTTGGGCACATCTGTTTTTGGTTTGGGTTTAGATGGACTGGGATCAGCTCTGATGGCAGAATGAGTCTTCTGATACATGGCTTCCATCTGTAAACAAAATTAATTTAACCATATAACCTATATAAAAATCTGTTCATCCATTTAACCAAATTTTTTTAGTGGTTTCATTCCCAAATATAAATATAATACCACTGACCAAAAAAAATGGAGAAATTCTTCTAAAATATAAATACCATCATTATGTGAAAAATATCTGGGTTCTAAGCAAGGAACAAAAATAATGGAGGAAACCAAAAAGATCAGCTGAGGGTCAAGGGGGCCACAGACTTTCATGTCACAAGTACAAATTTTGAAAGATCACTATGGAGACAAAAAAAAAACAATTGTATCTTTAATAAGATTACAGTTCAATCAAACCCTGCTATACTTACGTTGTCGGGGGTGATTCCCAGTTTAATATAACGACTGAAATGTTTTTTAAACAATTCTTCATCTTCTTCCTCTAGATGAGTCATGTAATCTCCAACATGTTTACCGAAGATATGGTCTCTATGGACACCAGCGTCGTAATTTTTGGTTTCTCTGTCGTAACCAATGAATCTCTTGTTACTGAAAACAATTATACCCATGATTTTGCAATTTTAACTGGTGAAATGAATTTGTACTATAGTATCAACTGGCCATGTAGGATTATAAATGTAGATGCCTTAAGGTGGGAATAATTAATGTCATGAAGTAATATTGTTCGCATCCTGTCCAGGACCAGTACCTATTGTGTTCACCTCGGGCGACTTCCATCGGAGCCCGGTTTACACTCGAGTCACAACCGAACTGTAATATTTTCTAGAGTTGAGACTTGTGTGACGTTATATTCGACCTAGTAAGAAGCTCGGGTCTGACACTCACTATTTGGAGAATCAAACAAGAGTTCACAATGCAACTCAATTTTCACTTATATCGATAATCTCACACCATCAACTCCATTATTCGCGCCTGAAGAACGTAACTGACCTATGTGGAATATCCAAACCACCATCAGCAGCTCCCTTCATTACACCAAAAACTTTAGCTCCAGTGGAACTTCTAGACAAGCCAATGTCTAAAATAGCTCGGAATGCTCCAGGCTTGTCCGGAACTTTCTCTACGTGGTAGGCTTCACCATCAGGTGCTTCTTGTCCTTTGTAAATACCATCCAATTTATACTTCTGTAATAACTGCAACAAAGAAGTTTTGATGTTACTCACAGTCAAACTTGTGGTCAAAGGAAATGAATGGAGTTTTACGTCTAACTGTTCAGCATGCAGTCAAGGGATTGCTCAAAAATGGCTGCTAACTAAAGGGTGGTGCACATAGTAATGAATGACTTGATATTGAGTTACATTGAAGGCCATGGTAAGCCATTTTCTGGAGATTAATTTGGGGCTTGAATATATACAAGTAAATCTTACAAATGCACTAAAGATGTAAATATTCTTTCTGAAACTGCCTGAAAGTGGCCTATCACTTCAGATGTACCCCAAACTAATAATTTCTCTTTCTATTTCTATATAATTATGTCTGCAGAGCCTCAAGAAAAGCTGCTCTGGACCTCCTGTTTCCTTTTTTAATTCATCTTTGATCTGACAAAACTATTCTTTAAATTCAGTTCTATAGTATTTTTACCCAATAGCATAAGCTGTCATAATCCCTGCTAAATAATTAAACCATTCTTAATAGTGGCAAGGCCAGACAAGTTTTTTAATGTATACCCAGAATTTCTCACATATAGCGCAGAAATTCCCCCACAATTCACTTTGACAAGATCAAGAGAATAAATAGTGGACTCGATATGATCAATCAACCACACCATCTTAATATGGAGTAAATACTATACTATTATTGCTCTCAATCTTGTCATGCTTTGGATGAGATTTAAGTTAATAAAATTGGACAAAATTTTAATTATAAGACTTACTCTTCTAGTCAATAGTAAGCCTGTACAATAGGCAGCAGCATAGTTTGTCAAACCAACTTTCAGTCCATATCTAGGTAGTTCATGAGAATATGCACTGCAGATAACAACATCACCCTCGATTTTAGCATAGGCAACCTGTATAACAAAACAAAACTGGATTAAGGTACAGAATTAACAAGAAGACAATCTACAATACTCACCGGAATACTTGAGATGAAAGAACACAATCACAATCTATTAGGATTACAGTTAGGGCTGGATAAAATGATTGAAATAATCGATTGTCACTAAAATTAATCATTTCGATTATTGAATTTCATAATCAATTATTTGTAAGTTCTACACTGTACCCGTTAACAAGTAGTAATCTCTTCCACATAGTTATATCCTTCAGCACAAAATTTACCCACAATAAACTATAATAACTGATCAAACAAAATATACTTCTATGATGCAAATATAGCCTATGAAATAAATCCTTAATAGGAAACGGTGGTCAACCAATCTTTTTGACCTTGAAACAGACGTCTGACAGAAAATTTGAATGAATGCAAATTGAAGCTCTAATTGGCCCATATACACATATAAGCTTCAAAACTTTGGCTATGAAAGTTTATCAGAATAGCAGAGAGAGTGAGTTATAAAGTAAAATATGTCTCAACCTACCTGACAAGTAATATCTTTATTAGAAAATCTAACAATCAGTCGATATTTGGGGGTGTTGTATTTACATTTTTCTTGAAATATCAATCGTTTTCTTGCATAGTAGTCAGTTTTGCCCTCTGAAATATATTAAAAGTAAATTACACCATTTAGCAAATCAATAGTAACTTTGAAAGGAATACCTCTTAGAATGGACATAACATTTAGATTTTTAAACTTGGTCTGATAAAATTGGTGATTAGTAGTTCATTAGTTCATTAGATTTCCATAAAGCTGGGTCTGAATTTGATATCGATGATCGTCCAAGCCATATTCAGTTTAGATTTATGAAGATTGGCAATGCCATGTACTGTGCAATGACGATTTTCGGCATGTTAGTGGCAATTACCTGCTCTTCCACAATTTTCAAATGTCTATGGATTTTAATCATGCAGTTTATAGTATAGACCCACAGGCCCTTGAAGTTAGTCAATATTAATAAAATATGGGCAATGTGGAGAAAATAGTGTGATCTTCAAAAAGTAAAGCAGAAGTCTTTCACCAACAAATAAACAGCTTTGTTTGCATTTTTGACTTATGCCATATCTTATTAATATTGACAGAACTTCAAGGGCTTGTGATAGACATACAAATAAAATATTAAAACAAATGGTATAAAAACACAAAATTTTACCTCTCCTTCTCCTGAATTTGACTTGGTATCTTTTAAAATAAGCCTTGTTTTTCTGAACTTTGACAAAAGGCTGAAATAAGTAGAGTAAGCTTTAGGACCAAAGAGGAGATTAGATATAGCATGTCTTAAATATTAAGGTGACATCCAAAACTATCCAGATTTTAAGAGTAGACTACTAACTTCAAAAATGTGTGGGGAATTCAGAAAAGTTAGGAGCAGAGTGAAATAACTTTAATGCAATCTAACGAAGATCTTGATTATTTAATCGAGAATTTGCAAGATTTAGAAGTAAAGTAAAGCCGATCTAATAAGCTGGCATTATTTACAGCCTCAAGATTGGCACATGGTTAACTGTCGGCGATAAACTGTACACATAGACTTAAATAAACGTCATCAACAAAATATCTCCAAATATCGTAAAAATGCTAGGCCATCGGTCAAAATTTAATCATTAAAGGTATAGATTGGACATTAAATGAGAGATCTGTTTATTTTTTGGGGTCGGTAATGGCTCACCATTTTTGAGAGGAACAGTGAAACACCAGAACGGTTTTCTGAGTGTTTTCACGTTGGTGTTCAATAAGTAAAGGAAGTGGAGATGTTGTTCATGCGCGAAGTTGAGAATTAACCGGAAGTGAGTGGAGCGGCCTTGACCTTTCAAATTTTGACCAATGAAATTGCGAGGCGGTTTAATGGACGACAAATGTAAGATTTTTGTAACTTTCTGTCAAACTTTATTGAATAATTCCGATCGAACTGTATTTAGAGTTACAGAAGTTCGTAGCTATTGAGAGGTTCACCTATTCTATCGAATCAGCAAAATTTGAAACCGACTAATTATTGTGTCGATAAATTATGACTGTTAAATTTCGGTCACTAATGAGTTCCAGTAAAACTTGTCACTGCATGTTTCTTTTGAAAAGACAACCCAATTTAGCTCAGTTTCAAGAGTACAAATTAGAACTTTATAAAAAGTATGTTTCTGGTCAGGTCAATGATTGATGTCAAATGGTCGACTTTAAATTCACGAATCAACCATTCAACGACCACTCTTTGACATAGGCCTATTGAGCTTTGATTTTGAATTGAATTTTTTCATAAATATTCAAATAAAAGATTTCTACTTTATGCCATTTGTCTTAGAATGTGTTCATAGAAATACAAGGTTCAGTGATTTTACATTAGAAATAGTCACACTTCCCTCCCAAAAAATGACCTACTTTTCAGACTGAAAATTCCCTCCTGTAAAATCATGTTTACAAATATAATAACTTTTCCAGTGGTTGACATTTTCAACAATCTTAGACTCTCAGTAGTATTTAGCATTGTAGTCTGAGAGTACGCTAATCATCCCTGCCTCCTTATACTCATATTGAAATTCAACAAGTCATGATTAAAACGTCACTTAGATAGAGGCACACCACTATTGGGCTATTGCAGTCAAGGTATAAGATGAAGATGTAAAACCTTGACCATTGTGAAGATGTCTTACAAAATGTCCACACACAGTTGAAGAGTTGTATATATTATTTTTCAGGTCAGCCTAAATCAATGTGAGAATGGAAGAAGATTTGGGTCCAATGACCTTGATGAGAAACGTTCAGGATCTGAGACAGAGACTAGCAGAAACAGAAAATAATCTGAAAAAATTAAATCGATTTGAAAAACTGGATTTAGATCAAGAATCTGTGGCATCTTCCAATAAGTAGGTTTACATCTTTACATAATTAAACTAGAGCTCATCTTAAAATTATTAAAACAGAAACCTAAAGAATACCTGTTGTTGTTACTCAGACAACTGACCTATTTTCAGCCTGCGTTCCTACAGAAGTTGGACAGGTAGAAGTTATTCTCATGTCTACACTTGCTACGAGCTTAACATTATTGACAAGAACTCATCTTTAATACTTCTGACATGTGTTTTGGATTAACAATCCTCATCAGGACAACTATCATGGAAATGAGGTTTTACATTTAAAAAAGAATTGAGTTTAGGAGCAACTTAAGTAAATTCACTGAACAACAGTGAGAACTAGCTAGTACAGAGACCATTGAATGCTTAGAACTGAACTAAGGATGCTGGCATGTTTCTAGGATTAACATTTCATCAGTAATAAATAACAAACTCATCTGATAATAATTTTAAGCAAGTAAAAGGGCTCATTAAGTGCTTGTAACAAGTTATATATACAGAAACTGGGATTATCTTAAAAACGTATATATACTGTTGTTGTTTCCAGCTTGTTCTGATCGTGGACAGAATGTATCTGATAGGAAAGCATGTTTTGATTATGCTCTGAATATTGTTATTTTCAGTGAAGATTGTATCCGAAGAAGAGTTCAGAAATTAGAAGATGAGAGAAAGAGAATAGAGAGTAACAGAATAGCTGTTAATTGTGATGGGGTACTCCACGCCTCACTAGTTCGTGATAACAGACCTGATCACGATGATATCACAGACAGAGAGAGTGTACGATCAGCTATTAGCACCGTTCCTGATTCTTACACTGGATTCTTAGATAAACAGTTTCCATCCAGTACTCCTACCAGTCAGAGGGTAGGTAGTATTAGTCTCAAATTAACTACGGTAACTTTTCATTTACTTAATTGGGAAACTCTGAAAATACTAAATTAAAAACATACCAAAATTTTAATTTCATGGGTAATTTTTGCATCTTAGAAGTATATTCTTGTTTTGATCAGTTATTATAGTTTATCATGGGTATGTTATGTGCTGAAGGGAACTCATGTGTAACCTTGGCATATAATCGATTATGAAATTTTATAAGTGATAATCGAAATTATACAATTATAGCGACGAAAATCGGTTATTTTACCCAGCCCTAGTCATTTTAGAGGCTATTATATCTAAATAAAAATAGTACCATTTAATACGAAGAATTGAAAAGTCCGTACCATCCGGTTCTAATCATAGAATTATATTCTGTTAAATTTTGCCTGCACAGCTTTTAGGGTTAAAACAAATATATTATGTACATAAAAGAGCCAGAAAAAGGACTTTTTAAGCAAGAATATAATCATAAAGTCCTGTGTATTTTCTTGCAGACTGGTAAAACAGTAGGATTAAATCATGAAGATGAAGACAGCTACTATAATCAGGCTGGTGGAAGTCGTCTAAATAAATCAGGGAAAGATAACAATGATAAAGTTGTCAGACAAAATCAACGATTATTATCAGAAGTTGAAAAATTAGCCTACGAACTACAGTCAGCTAACTCTAAGGTAGGCAAGAACTGATACTGCAAAAGAAGAAAACTTGCAGCAAAAATTATGTTCATCTCAGTAAAGGATACTGCAGAAAGCCAACCTAGGGATTGTAAAGGGTGATATTTTTATATACACACTTCATTTGTGAAGTTTGTGTTAAGGCATTTGCAGGGAAAAATGGACTGAAGTTATTGATAGAAAGTTGTTTTGTGATATTTTTATGTTTTGTAGATTCGTGATCTAACACGAGAATTAAAGTCTGGTCATCAATCTATTCCCGTCCTAGAAGATCGAGTGATTGGACAGAAATCTGAAATAGTTGCTTTAGAGAAAGCTCTCAGGTTGGTTTTAAAACTTACTTTCATTTCTTCTGGTCTGGCCAAGGGAAATAAGCCAGTAAAGCCAAGTTAATACTTGAGATTGTTGGTAATGGGTTTCAAATTGATATGATTTTAAGGGATTGTAAAGAGGTTTGTAAAAAGCCGCTATTGATACATTTGATATTGATACATTTACAATCCCTTAAAGAAGCCTGATTTTGTTTGTTATCAATGTTTTCATATTTCTTCTTTAAAATTGATTGAGAAGGTGGTTAAGTTTGTCTGTGTGTAATGTTTCTCAAGTTGTTTATAATATAATATTGTATAATTGTAGAAAGGCTGAAGAGAATTATGAAGAGTGTCAACGTAAACTAGGATTATACGAGAAACATTCCAATAAATCTCAGAATGAAGTAGAAGAATTAAGACAACAGTTAATTAAAGAACGAAAATCACGAAAACAGTAAGTATCTATCAATTTTCAAAAACAGGTAACACCTTAAGATGACAATATAGATTGTTGAAATGTAGTGTGTAATAAAACTAAGGAGTAGTATACCATAAAATAGTGTTCCATTATTTAATTTAGTGTAATTCTTGCCTTCTTAAAATCTACAATTGGAATTTTGAGGTTCTAAGGTTTATTTATTATTTGCAAAGGAAAATATTAAAGATATTTTTGTTCTATTTTTTTGATAGAATAGAAACCCAGCGTGATGAGGTGCTGCAGAATTTCCTGGAAGCCCAGGAATCACTAGAAGACTATCAGAAGAAAATGAGAAGTAAATTCAGAAGGGTAAGAATGATCATATATTGAATAAAGACTAATCATCTACTACATGTACTGGTAGTAATCTCTTTCACAAACTTTCCCCTTAACACAAAATTACCTGCAATAAACTAAAATAATAAATACTAATAATACTCTCTATAACCAAAAAATAACCCATGGAATTAAATATTTGGACATTCTTTTTTTATGTATTTTATTTACAGGATTTCCAAAATTAAAAAAGTAGAATGTAAAACTCCATTCATTTCATTTCCCAATTAAATATTTTGATTATTGATTGATTATTGATCTGTAGCCTGCCGTTGATAATCGATCTCAATCTGGATATTGATACCTTGCCCTATATGGGATTGGTTCTGATATTTTCTGGATGTAAAGCAATAATATACTTCTATGACACAAAAATAACCCAAGAAATTAACAATTTGGACATGATCTATATAATATTTAGATAAAATTTGAACAACATTTAGAAGTGGAGAGTAGATATATGGTATAACTCACTTCTTTAATAACAAAGCACATTTTGTTAATAAAGAAGTGAGTTATACCATAATATACCCCTTGTGTTTTTTGTTATATATATAATATTTAGAAGATATTTTGATCTACTAGTGATCTGTAGTCTGTTAATCTTAATTTGGTAAACGATGCCTAGCAGTAATTGTGTATGTTGTTTGTTAATAGCAAGAAGATGGTGAAGATTGTTTACGTGATGAGTTAGATCAGGTGATCAGTGAACGAGATGATTTAATACAACAACTAACAACTGTTAATATTACAGTCGAGGAACAGGAAGGAGAAATCAGGTTTGTCTTCTTCTGTTAATCCTTTTAACACTTGTAGCTTGTCTATCGACCACAAAATAAAGTGATTTATTACTCGGAGTGTCCATTATCAAAGTCATATATTTTCAATATCATTTCATTTCATAGTCTAGGTCCACAAACCAACAAAATCATTGAGGTACACATCAAACGAGTCTAATAGCCAATAGAAATGAATATCTCAGCGAGCTGTCTGTTACCAAATAACGTGACATAATATTAATATAATAGACTTTTAGTTATATAACTTAGAGTTTTTGGGTATTTGGCATTATATTTTATTTACACCCAGTGTTCAAAGGGTTAAAACTAATTTTAATGTGGAATATCATCTGCTATATATTTCCTAATCTCTGTCAAACATGATATGATCTTCTTATAGAAGATGGGTAATTCTAGTGTGGAAAGGATTCTCATTATTTCTAATTTAAAAATGTTAATTTCAACTATGTTT